AAAAAAAAAAAAAACGAGCTCGCGGCTCGTAAAAATTCCGCGGTAAACGCAGCTGCGTACCACGTAAAATTGTTAGAAAGCAAAGAGAGAGAGAGAGAGAGAGAGGAAAGGGGGGGGGGAGAAAAATTCCTGTTGCGGCGAACGCGTGTGGGGAAAGTTTTCCGGACGGGGGGAACTTGTTCGATGAAGTTTGGCCGGCGGAGTCGGGATGGGAAGTTTGGCGACGGAAATCGCTGGGAAAAGGCGGAAACAACGAGAACGGTGTACCGGTGGCTTTCGGATCGGAACTTTCACTGGATGATCCTTTTGTTTCGAGCTGGGGTCGTCGCGCTTGGGTGTCCGCGAAGGGGTGTCAGCACTTGGCTCGGAAGTCACGCGGCCCCCCGATCACTGGTTGTTCGCGGTCCGGAGTTGAAGACCCGACTGATGGAAACGTACGCAGAAACTCGGTATAGCCGAGGGCGCAGGCGCTCCGCTACCTCTCCACGATCTTCCTCTCTCTTCCATTCAGATCTGCTCGCCTATCTCTGCCTTCTCTTCCGGACGTCGCTACCCCCTTCGACACTTCCCGTGCCCCGATCTCACCTATTCCTCTGTACGCGCACCGATTTTTTCCCTCCCTTTTCTTCTCTTCTTGTTCTACCCTCCCCCCGGCCTAGCTTCTAGCTGGAACGCATTTGCGTTTTCCTTCACGACCATTGCGATATTTGCTAATTTTGCGTAAAGATACATACAGACCGACCAGGTCTAAGAGCCAAGCAAACCGAGCACCGATCTGTTCCTCGTTCTGTGTCTTTATTATTTATGTTTCTCCCGTCAATGTGAATTTCACTACCGGCCTTTCTTTACACCAAAACTGACGACTGGTCGATTATAGTTAGTATCCGCACGTGCCCCCTAAAGTCCAAAGTTCCAGACGAGGTGACGTTGCTAGGAATTAGTACAAGTTGTCACAAACTACTTTGCCCGAAGACAAGGTACAAATCAGCAAGCACATACGTATAAATAATGTGGTTTTATACAAAAAGTACCCAAGCCAGTATTGCAACATCGCCAATTTCCAAAGTGAAAGTCTCGTCTTGTTCGAATGAAAGTTCTGCAAAATTGTATGGTATAATTGTTCAATAAACAACAGTGACCAGAGTACACGTACCTGTCGTATGGCGCGAATAAAGTCGAACTCTCACACTTTGTAATCTCGAGATCGCAGAAGACGCAAACGCTGTAAAAAGAGACGACTGCTACGAAGGTTTTAACAACCATCCCGCGATTTCGCAATTCGACAGCAGACGAATTCTATCGCGCCAAATTGATAAGATCGCTACCGGGAACATTGAATTAACTGTCTTCGCTGTTTCGCGTTTCAGACAACTCGCTGGCAATTCCGAAACTCGCTAATTCCCGAATGATTCGTCGGGTTTATAAATGGCAGGTACGCACGAGTGTTTGGGTGTCGCGGCAGGTCGAGAGGAAGGCAGAGACGACGTCGCCCGGTTACATTTGGATTCTCTTCGTATGATCCCGCAGGCGATCGAGCAGCCACTGCTTTACGACACACACCTGTGAAGAGGATCGAGAATTCACGCGA